GTCCAGAGCCGTCCAGGCAGGCGAGGACGAGCTTGCCGACGTCGGATGTGGCGCCATCGGTCGCGAGGTCACCGATGAGTTCCAGCTCGAGGATCGGAGGTCCCTGGCGGCGCGCGTGATCCCTGAAGCCCTTCATCAGACCCCTCATGCCCGGGTGGGCGAACGCGGAGCCCGCAAAGGCAGCCGCAGCGAAAATAGAGCCCTTCATTATGTCAAATTATGCTGGCAAAGAATAAATATATGTGTAAGACAAAAGACGATTGTGCAGGTTCAATGAACGACAGTGAGGCTCTTCAACGAGAGGACGGAAACGATATACGCTCCTTTGCAAAAAGACAGATGGTTGAGGAGAGAAAGGTGGGAGGGAAACGACGAGGCTATAAGTCTTGCCAGTAAGCCACCATCAGCATGCAATACCGCCATGGCTGCGAGGGTGAAGTCTGGATTGCGCGGGGGTCGGCTCAGCCGTATCGCTCCTTTCTGCTTAATGCCATGCAAAGAGGCTGACGCCCATATGCCTGGTGATGGGGGGGGGGTTAGAAAAGACGTGGTGAGAGAAATAATGAGGTGGTTGAGCGGGGGGTGGTGATGTTCCCGGATGATGACACCCCGGTAAGGCTCGCTAGCGTCAACTTTTTTGTGAGTGATCCCCTGCTAGGGGACTCTTGGGACCTGCAAGGTACCGGGCGGGTAGCAGCCAATTGATGAGGAGACGAGGTCAGCGGTTAACGAAATTGACTGGACGCCGGAGGGGAGAGCGGAAGAGCATTGCTGTTGTGGCTTATGCTGACTCGCCTGCCATTCGATGTGCATCGCCGCTATTTTGCGCCTCGAGCCGAGAATGGGCTTGGATGGAGTTCGGTCGAACTTTCTCGCCAAGTTGGGCCGTGGCACCAGAAAGCGGGGCGTCCGACATATTCCGTTGGTGTTGATCTAATGCTTCCGCGGTGAGAGTGGAGAATGCTGTTGGGGGGAATCTATACTCTGGAGTCCCGCAGATAGCACGGCAGGCCGGTGAGCGCGGCGGCGTGCTTCAATGCCTACCCGGCAAGCCACGGCGGTGAGCTTGAGATTGCGCTGTGAACTTGCAACATGAGGCGCTCTGCGGGCAAGTCAGTCAGCCTCATCTGGCCAGCGTCTCAGAGTCCGATGCGGAGGGAGGGAGGGCGGAAGATGCCATCGCCCAGCTGGCCGCCATGTGCCCACAATCTACCAGCCATCTGTCCATGATCTCATGGAAGGCGAACGCACGAGAGATGAGCGGGCCATGGTCCGAAAATCCTCGGCAGGCTTGGTGTAGCTGTTTTAGGCTTTAGCAAATGTGGGAGTGTTCATTTGTGCTTCTACTTCGTAGCAACCCAGGCACCCGCGCTGCTGGTCAGATGTGGCACTTGCCGATTAGGACAGTGAGTTTATCGATTTGTTATCATCGGAACAATAATGACAGACTCAGATCACACAGCTGCCGTTGACGTTGCGACTGGCTAAGACTGTGCTGTGTATCGTGAGCAACGTGAAGGCATTATGCGCGTCCGTTAACCTTCAAATGCTCCGACTTTCCAACGGAGCATTTGCGCAGTCGCGTGTGTGTGCGGCTGAGATCAACGTCGACTAGGTACGGGTTAAGCTCTTTTCATCCCAGTTCCTCATCCTGGCAACGTCCAAGGATAGCTCTCGACTCTTTTTTTTGCTTGACCGGGGTGCACGGCGACGCTCCCACGGGTTGACGCAGGGGTTGATGTTCTTCCTCACCTGAAGTACCCGTACTCAAGCCTGACGGGAAACGACTGGGGGCGGGGAAACAACTAAGGGCGAGGGACAAGCGTTAACAGGCGGGAACTAAACATGGCGTTTTTGTTTGGAAGGGAGCAAAATATGTTTATGCTAACGACAAACATTGGATGACGACGGCTGCTTTTGGATGCTGTGCTGTCAATACTTCGTCGTCGTTGTGATGGGCTATCTGAATGCAGCGAGGGGTTGTGAATCGATGCTGGTGCAGGGAGCAAGTTTGTCGAAGACGAGAGGTCAGAGGTCACTTGCAGTAAGCCACTCAGGGGATACGAGGTGAGAAGTGTTGTGATGGTGGAGAAGGGGGGTTGGCGAAGGTCCCCGTAGTTGGAGGCCTGGCTTGGGAAAGGAAGAAGTAGGCGTCTGTGTGGGGCGTGTTGGTTGGCCTGAATAGGGGTGCGCAACAGCTACGGATCATTAAATATCCGCCCGGACGTACCTCCTCCGCGCAGGGGTGTCCCGCGCCTACCCTCATTTGCGTGGATTTGAGTGGAAAGCATCACCAACGCCTCCGTAAGCCTCTCCCCACCTCTATACGCCTTCATCCACGCCTTCATCCACGCCTCCATCCACGCCCTACCCGTACCAACTCGTCCGCGCCTAAGAAGCCGTGATAGCTGACCAATTCAGCGGCCCCCAATCGTCCCCACAAAGCCAAATAAAGCACATGTACATCTCCATTCCTCCTGTACCCCTACCTTCCCTGTCTTGTTGCACGTAACTGGTGAGTGGTCATGGGAAGCTCTCGGTCCGCGATGAGTGCTCGAGTAACACTGCCGCAGCTTGCTGCGCCATCCCACACCCGACACGCGCCCGCAAGCCTTGCACGGAGTCTGCCGCTGCCCGCTATGCATGTTTTCATATTCCCTCTTCTCTAAGCCTGCTCATTTCCCGCCAGTCCTCCGTTTCTTGTCGTCCAGGATGCCTCCTCCCAGGAAATCCGTTGCCATCATCGGCGCTGGTCCGGCTGGTTTGGTGGCCGCCAAGACGCTGCTCCAGTCCCGCTTCGATGTGACCGTCTTCGAGAAGAAGAGTCGTGTCGGTGGCATGTGGGGTGTGGAGCCGGGTGGGCAGGGTGACTTTTGTTCGCCGGATATGCCTACCAACTTGTCCCGATTCACCGTCGCCTTTTCCGATTTTGATTGGACTTTCGTAGATGTCGGCCCGACGGGCGTGCCCATGTTCCCGAAGGCGTGGATGGTTGGACGATATCTCCAGGCCTATGCGGACCGATATATCCCCTCTGAGGCCCTAAAGCTCGAGTCTGAAGTCACCAGTGCCGACCTTTGCCCGTCAGGTTGGCGTCTATCCTGGAAGAGTGCGCAAGAGGATACCTGCACCGCTGAGTTTGACCATCTCATCGTTGCGTCAGGCTTTTTTTCAAAGCCATGTTCTCCTGCAAGTGCCGGTCAAAACCCAATCTCCATCCACAGCTCTCAATACCGCGATCTCGCCACTCTCCTGCCTTCGTCACCGCGCGAAGGTGCGATTGTGGTGGTAGGTGGGAGCATATCCGGGATCGAGTGCGCTGCAACAGTTGCCTCGCACATCTCGGACGCGAACTGGGCCCCGGATGCAGAGAAAGAGGCTGCCTTCCGCTACCAGCTGTATCATATCGCATCACAACCGTTCTACGTGCTTCCCAGGTACCTGCCCACTGATCCCAAACCATCTAGACCTACCTTTTTGCCAATTGATCTGGTGATATACGACCTCACGCGCAGACCCGACCCAGTCGAACCAGCAGGCGGTCTCATGCCCGAGGACAAGGCGCAAAAGTCGCATGCTTTCTTGGCCGGGCTTGCCAGCGGACAACCTCTGCCCATTTCCGCAGACGACAAGAAACTACCGTCCTACATCGGCATCAGCGACACCTACGCACAGCATGCCGCCGGCGGTTCAGTCATTCCCGTCCGCGGCCGTGCCGCCATGTCCGTGTCCGCGGATGGAGACTTGGAGGTCCATTCAGACACCCATTCGGATACCCATTCAGATACCGTCACCTCAATCCCCAACGTCATCGCAACAATCTACGCAACAGGCTTCACCGCTTCGCTCTCCCTCTCCTACCTCTCCCCCCACGTGCAATCCCTCCTCGACCTCGACCCAACATGCCGCCGCATCCCCCTCCTCCTCGAACACCACAGCACCTTCGCCCCCCGCCTCCCCACCCTCGCCTTCGTCGGCTTCTACTCAGGACCCTACTGGGCCGTCATGGAAGCGCAATCCCGGCTCATCGCCGCGCGTTGGACCGGGCAAACCTTCCCCGTCCCCGACATCGGCCTCCTGCAAACCATCCGCACAGCCCTACACAGCAACACCCCCGGCGTGCCCCAATTTTGGATGGGCGACTACATCGGCTTAGTCGAATCCATGGCGCGCAGCGTCGGCCTATCCCGCGAAGCCCTGAACCCCCAAATCCCACCCCCCGACCCTCTCATCCCCGCGCGGTACTTCACCAAACCATCAGAAAGCGTCCTGCACACGCTCCGCGCGTTCGAACACACCATCACGTCCGCGAAAGAAGGTGCCTTCCTCCCCGCAGCCGTGTTTGCAAACCTCCAGGGTCGATGGTCAATGCGCCGGACCTTGGTGTCCGCGCTGCCGGGATTTCCCTCGGGCACGTTCAGCGGCGAGGCTTACTTCCACACGCGCCAACCCACAGATACGGCGTTTGATAGCGAGTACCTGTACGCAGAGGAAGGCACGCTGCGCACAGAAATGGGACTCGAGCTCAGGGCAAGCAAGCGATACGTATACCGGTACACCGAAGCAGACCGCGCAGTCAAGCTCTTCTTCGTGAAGCCGGATGGGCGGACGGTGGATTACTTCTTCCACGAGGTGGGGTTTGAGGGGAAGACGACGGCGCGGGAGTGCTGGGTTGCTAGTGGGAGTCACCTTTGCGAAGCGGATATGTATGAGTCTGAGTATGAGTTTTGGTTTGAGGGGGCGGGGTTGAGGAGGTGGTGCCAGAAGTATATGGTTAAGGGACCGAGGAAGGATTATGTTAGTGAGACGTGGTTTTCTAGGGAAAAGGTGTAGATAGACAGAGTAGGATGTCTGGATAGAGCCTTGTTGGACATGATTCTTGGCGCAAAAAAAAAACCCAATCGTGCTGACCACTTGCGCCAAAGACACACTTCACCATCGCCCATCATTTTCGCCGTGAACAATGGTTGTAAAGACCAAAGTGCAAAAAGAAGAACTTCCTCCCCCACCTGGGCTCGAACCAGGAACCTCCTGATTGCAACCTCTTCTTGCGAAGTCAGTAACAGTCAGACGCGCTAGCCAATTGCGCCATGGAGGAAGTTGAATTGATGTATGGAAGTGCGGGGTAGCCATCCTTAATTTGGCATTTCCCGTTCTCGCTACAACCACACATCGTAAATCGAACACTGCATCATTCAGACCGCATCACTGTTGATGTTCAGGTGATTATCAGTACTGATGACGGAGATTTGGTGGCAGAACATAATTTGAGTGTTCTATTGTCCAGCCGAGGCTTGACGTCACTCTCATCACTCCGAGCTGAATAGCTCCACCACCCCAACGATGATGTGGGTATGGAAGGAACACCGCTATGTCAAGAAGGAGCGCATGATGTAATGCGAGTATGATAGAAGGCAGGAGCAAAGGAGGATACTTGGCATCGTGTATTTAATCTTGAGAGTCTCTTCCTCTCTTCCTCTCTTGTCTTCTTCAATCCTCAGGTTACACATATGTTATTGGAGGTGTACGAGCCCTGCTCCCATCAAACGACACCTCTATATCACTGAGCAACAATTCAGAGTCACGAAGCATCAACCCATATTTGGACCTTGCTGATGGGCATCTTGCGCTATTGCCGTCCCTGCATGGAGCGCGCTACCAAAATTGGGTGCGGAAGCATCCGTTCCCCGCATAAAGTGCACGGAGAAATAAGTGTCATCAATTAAGCACGAATCCCGTCGGGAAAAATAGAGCTTGACGTCCAGAACAAAAAGGCCTATGCTTCCCAAGACCTCAACTCAAAAAGCTCACTACTAACCATGCGCAGCCTCTCATTCCTTTTCGTCGCTCTCTTAGCCACCGCCGGCGCGCTCGAGGCCTCCCAGGAGGCCGAGACAGCCTTGCCAGCCCCAGGTTCCCTCCAACAGATAAAAGACTTCACCGGCCCCACTAACGCCAGCCTCTACATCTACGTCCCACCTAAACTCCCCCCCTCTCCCGCCCTCCTCGTCGCAGTCCACCACTGTGCCGGCAACGCACCAGGCTTCTTCCGCTCCACGCCCTACAAGGCCCTCGCCGACGCCCATGGCTTCATAGTCGCCTACCCGCACTCGTACCACAGCGGCGGGTGCTGGGATGTCAGTTCGCGTGCTACACTCAAGCATGGTGGCGGGGGGGACAGCGCGTCTATTGCCGCGATGGTGGGGTGGGTGCTCAAGGCGCACCCGGCGACGGATAAGAGCCGGGTGTACCTGACTGGGACGAGCAGCGGCGCGATGATGACGGTATGTTCCGCGGGAAGCGCGTCCTGAGGTGTTACTGATAGGGTAGAACGTCCTCGCGGCGACATATCCCGAGCTCTTCGCCGCGGCGGTCGTGTACAGCGGCGTGCCGGCTGGGTGTTTCAGCATGCCCGTCGCGACTGCTTCCAGCGCCGAGGCCCCGCCGTGGAACTCAACCTGCTCGCAAGGAAAACTCATCAGCTCAGTCCAGCACTGGGCACAGATCGCAAAGGACATGTACCCGGGCTACAGCGGACCGCGGCCGCGGATGCGCATTATACATGGTGGAACGGATACGGCGCTGCTGCCGCCGAACTATAATGAGACGATCAAGCAGTGGTCTGGAGTGTTTGGATATGACTGGACGAAACCGGTGTCGGTGAAGCAGGACACGCCTAAGCACGGGTATTCGACGACCTCGTGGGGGCCGAAGCTGGAGGGTGTTTGGGCGGCGAAGGAAGGGCATACGGTGCCGTATATGGGGGAGGCAGATATGAAGTTCTTTGGACTAGGCTGATGCGGAGAAGCTGCGATAAGCTGAATAGAATGATATTCTGAAGAGTCGAGGCGCCAGCTACCAGGAACATACCGTCCAGAATTGAACTGAGCGGCCATCTGCCTCAGCATCAGCCTTGCCCACTGGAAGTACAGGATTGACATGTGCAAATGGCTGCGGTGGGAAAGCGAAGAGTTGACAAGACGACGAAGAGAAGAGAGTTGAGAGACGCTGAAGAATAAATACAAGGTGTCCTACGATGCTCCTTCCTTCTGTTATGAGCATATTACCATGTGCCTGCCTCCATTGTGCGCACATGTCGTCACCAGCGCCTTCCGTTGGCATGTCCAAGGGCTAGAACTAGGTGAAAAAGTCGTATCGCGCATTCGTCGGTGGCCTCTAACAACAGCCGGGTGGGAGGTGACACGACTTTTTCACCTAGCCCTTGGTCCCTGCCCCAGAGTGGTGTGCTCCTTCCGATTAACCCATGGGCACCCCTAACCCACAGCCGATGTTCAACTATCCGTTCCCTATCGCAGAGCTACGACGCGCCCTCACACTTCCTCTCAACAACAAAACCCAACAACACCACCCAGCCCGGCACCGCATCGTGGTATCAATCCCTCATCGCCAACATCTCAAACTTCGAACCGAGCCGCCTTCCTCCAAGCTCAGGCGTACCTTCATCGTGGTCAGCCGGATGCAGGGTGCCAGGAGCGCGAATGCCCGGATCCAATTTGTCGTTTGAAGGTGCGCGAGCTGAGAATGGGCTCGCCGAAGGTCGGCCGGTCGGCCACGGTTCCTGGATTCATCGCCTAACGGAGGTTTGTTGTGGCGTTTTAACGCCCATGATGGCGTATGTGGCGCATACTTCGGGTTGCTGCGGGATCAGTGCCGCGTGGCCAACATCCGACGAACATTCAAAGCATGCCTGCTGTTGTGGACATTACCCCGCGTTCACAACCCGAAGCAGGTCGTCCATGGCTCGTATGATCCGTGAGCTGTCGTCATTGCCGCAGATTTCGAAGTTCTTGGAGGTGACCTTGGTCCATTCATCACTGTGGTGTTAAGCCGTACGCCAATGGCCATCACCAATGGAATTGATTTTGATGCTTCCGCATAGGGCATATTGTTCCATGAATGGTGCCGCGTCCTTCAGCTCGATATCAGAAATGAGGTGCATGCCAGTGTTGAACGGCGAGGCCTTGAACGAGGCTGAAGGGAACCTGGAGGCGGCCCGTGGCGGCCGTTGCCGAGCTTCGCGATCTTGGCGCCGATAAGGACCACATTCGATGCCGAGTCGAAGGTTCATCGTGAGATGGTGCCAGATCCGAGCGAGAAGTCCTAGGAATAGCTGCTGTTGGTGACGCCGGGTCCAAGATCCAGAAACTCGCAGCCAAGACAGGAACAATCCGACCGTTCACCAAATCAACGCCAAGCCGAACCCAACAGTCACTCGCACGCCAGAGTATCAGTGTGGGTATCATAAGCTACATCATGCGGCCCCGAAGACGCCCCTCCATACCAGGCGCTTAGCCGGCACACACGCCAAACCCAGGCTCTCGCCTGTCTAAGCGATCAGAATGCAAACCCTACAACGTCCGGCAAAAGCCATATGTACAAGAACCGAACCCCTACGCCACCACCGACCCAATTTTCACACCCTCCGCCCATCCTCAGGATAATAATACCGCCCCTCCCCCGGGCCCATCCCCAATGGACTCCCCATCGGACTCCGCAAAGACCTCGGACTCGTCGGACTCGCAATCGGCCTCGGCACATCCGGCAACCTCCCCAACGGCGCAGGTCCAGGCCCGGGACTCGCCGGTCCCCACCCAGACTTCACACTGCTCGCACGGGAGGAGTACGTATTAGTCAGCGGCGTCAGGGGCCTCGAACTACCCTTGCGGCTCGCAGCGAGGCTCCCCGCCGTCATTGTGCGGGAGCTGCCTGGACGGGGACTCCCAGGGTCCTTCTCCATTGTCCTTGGGAAGGGTGAAGTCATAGGCGGGAGGGACTTGAGTTCTGAGGCTGCGGCTGCCTGGCGAGCGGTTTCGGCCTTGTGGCGCATGCGTCGGGTTATCATGCCGATTATGGTGATGATGGCGAGGATGCCGTAGAGGCCTACTATGCCGAGGGCGACGTAGGTGGGGATGCTGTTGTCGTTGTTGTCGCTGGAATTTTGGGCAGAGGTGGGGAGGCCGGTTGTGATGGTTTTGGTGCTGGTGCTGGTGGGGGCGCTGGTCGTTATGGTTACAACGGCGGCGAGGGTGGTTGGGGAGGACATGGCTGTGAGGAAGAGAGGTTCTGGCGTGTGCGGCTGAGGTGAGGTCAGATGGTATATCGAAAGTGAAGGTGCTTGCGCGCGGTCCGCGTGAACGAGTGTGGTGTGCGTGAATGAGCGTCGTGGTCCAAGGAGTGGAGTGTGGAAAATGTGCCAAAGAGCGTAGCCGGGTCAAAAGCCGATATCAGGTAAAGAGCGTCAGCGACAGTCGTCGTCCATCAACAGTCTCGCACCGTCAACCAGCAAAGCAAGCAAGCAAGCAACAAAAAAGCAGGCACCCTCAAATCTTCCCTCTTTGACCCAAAACCACGCAGAAAAAAACCCGCGGGCCCCCTCCGCCTATAAATTCCCGCCAACCCACAAAAACGACAACCACCGATCACCCGACCCACCCCCATCCCCAAGCTCCCACCGGGACCCACCACTGGACCCATACGCTATCCACACGCTATCACCCACCACTGCAAAAACTCCACATCCCCCGGCCCAGGGGAACCATGAGCGTGAACTACCGACCAACCCAAGCAGTGCTTGCTCGCTCGCCGCGCCCGCAGCGTCAGCCTAGCGTCCGAACGTTCGCACTCGAAGCCGCCGAAGCGCCGCCCGTAGACGCGGTAGCCCGGGCCTAGCAGTGGCCTGTCTGGGCGGGGCGCGGCGGGGCGCGCATCGGGGCTCAAGAAGCAGAGACATAAAATGCGTATAGCGAGCGGCTGGGGCGTTGGGCGGGTGCGCCGGAGAGGCTGTGCTCTGAAACGGTTGCGTGAGCCCGTTGGCTTCTTTTGCGTCTTGTTGGTAGGCTTTCGGTGTTTTTTTTTTGCAGGCGGGTGTGGGTGAGGTTGAAAGGGTGGGTGTTAAGCTTTGGGGCGGCCTGGGGTAGCTGCTTCTGGTAAAGGGGGATTGGCAATAGCTAACGGGGTGGGGCGGTGGGTATGCGAGTGCTATTTGGGGTGCGGTGGGGGGGTTTTGCTGGTGGTTTGCAAGGAATGGATGGGAGCTGAGAGACGGAGTGCTAAGCTAGGTCATTGCCGGTTTGGTGA